TTCACTTCTAGGTTTACAAAAACAAATCAAAAAGTTCCGTCCTCACATTAAGGTTCAAGGTTAACACATCCTCCAACTTTGAACAAATCAAAATGCTTCCTAAATGTTTGGCTTACCAATGATAGTAGGCCATCTTGTGTCATGGTCACAGGGTTTTATTTTTCATTTTGATTGGTTGCCAAACTTCTAGATTGAGGGTCTTATCTAATATAAACCTCACAGAAGGTTGATGCCAAATAGAGAAAGATTAGAGGAAGAAGATAGGAGTGCTGCTGATAGTGTGCCAACAATGATGGACCAAACATGATAACCCAAATACTGCCTGAATCTCGGTATATTAGAACAAATATTAAAAACATATTGTACCGTAAAGTAAAAATCGTGCCGTCGCTTATACGCAAAGTAAAATCTAGACTTCACATACGGTTCATTAGTCTGTGGGCCAATTTGTGTTTTTTTCTAAACATCAGATTGTTATCTGTTTACAAAGTTAACAGGTTTTTAAAAAATTGTCTTGCAATGGCTCAAATGTTCGACCAGTCACCCAAATCTTAACTTTTTCTTGACCAGGAAGAGAGCCCTTTTTGAAATAGGAGCAAAAAAAAAGACCCTCAAAACATGTTTCAAATAACTACAATTGTTCCTAGTTCTTGCATTAAAGGCAAAAAAAGAAGGGTTCTGCTGATCCGAGAACGCGTATTCTCTCTTACTCCACATCTGTCTTGCGATACCTTTTCCCCTCTCAACTACGCTCCCGCTTCCTTATAGGCCGTGCATCATGCCACTTAGCGTGCAGCATGGTATCGACAGAAATGCCTAAACCATTCCTGCTTCCTATTAGCAAAGCATCTCCACGCTCCTGCAACACCCGTTAGCTATCCAGTCCCAGTGTGATGAGCAGGCCGGGTTTCACGCCTCTCCATTTTATAGTTGATGAATAGCTGCAGCAGATGGTTTTCTTATCTTTGAAGATTCCAGTAAGAAGAGCGTGATGAATCGTCCCAGGCCTTACGCATCCATCGGCGGTCTCCCCATCCCCACTGCCGACGCCATAACGTTGCCCCTCTAGCACAAAAACAAAAAAGTTGAAATGTGAACAATATGTAGTTGGCTCGTCACGAAACACCAATGAATCTACAGCTTTCACTTCTCATGCCATCTCAAAATCTTTGGACATGTCAGCATTGACACGTTCACTCCATTCCAGCTGTGTAAACGCCAATATGGTTGGTGTTAAAAACATCTTTACAGAAAAAAGACAGGGGCTCATCTGGTGCAGTCATTATCCCGTTTACAATGCGCTCTCATGACAGACCCACGTCCACTCTTCTCATCAGTCACAACTTCACACAGCAGCTCACCAGAGGATGGGTGCGGGGCGAGTATGAAGAGCGGACCAGATATGGTAGCAAAAGCTGTTAATGCTTTCCTTACAATGTGAATTCTTTGCAGGGTGCTCTGTTTCTTAGATTATAAATCAATCTGTACTCCATGAGAAATATCCCTCACAATGGTGCCATGTGTATTGTCTGAGCACTCAAGGAAGGAAAACGAAAAAGGGCCAACGGAAAAAATCAGTGCCATAAATGTATATCAGATATATACGTATTTGATCAAACTTTCTTTATTTCTACCAGCTAGATCTACCACATCTAATCTAATCAAATGTAAAACAGTAAAAATAATAACAAACATGCACAAAAATGAAGTTAACTATTTTAGAAAATGGTTTTCTCTTGTGTTATTTGTGACAAAACATTGGAATTCTTGGTACGTTAATGGAAGATTCAGTAAGACACTGTCAGATCAAATTAGCTTTCATCTGGAAAGGATGAACAAATATAGAACATTTAAATTCATATGATTACATTTAACAGTTTCTATCATTTATCAACTTTTGCTCCAGCAAACTTTTTTATGTTACTTGGATTTAAGAAAAAGAAGCCAAGCACCACATTTAGCTTGCCTTCACATTTTTTGTGAAAGACCCTTTAACCTGAGCTTGGTGTGCTGGTCAAAATGTTAACCTCGTGTTTTCCTGCTGCATTAGTAAAGTTATTTGTGTGCCAGGTCATCCAGAGCAGGTCATCCCACAAATAAATCACATTAAAAGACGTGTCAACAGTCCCCTCAAAATAGACCCCAGAGTACCTGGTCCACATACCGTATCTGTAGAAGGAACATCAAAACGCAGAAGGCAGCATACTCGGGATAGCTGACCTCCTGTCACGTGTAAGCTTGGACTGAAGATATGTAAAGGACACAGAAAGCCTGGAATAGAGAAGAGAAAATGAAATGGCAATTTAGTCTTATTATCAGTGGTGGAATGTTACTTGTTCTCTCAAATATTCTTCTTGGCCGGTTTTAGGGACTTGCACTTGAGTATTCTTTATGCCACTTTATACTTCCATCCAAAGTAAATATTATTATTTTTACTAGGATTTCTTGCATAAGAAATACAAGAGTTGTTCAAATATAATGTCCCTTATAAGTCAAACCAGCCAAAATGTCATACAGAACCTCTTTGACTATTAATCAACTAGACTTTTGAGGGATGATGAATTGCCATATGTAAACATTTTACATGTGAAGTATTCTTTTGGGTTTTCTGGGTGTTTTTTAAAATGTATTATTTTTGCATTGGGCAATTTAACTTTGAATACCTTTTGTTGATGATACTTACTTTTTCTTAAGTAACAATGTCAATGCACAACATTTGATAGCAGTGGGGTATTGTAGTAAAGCTTCTTAACTTATTGTAATTATTATTTAAAGGCTGCATAATTAACTAACTTTATTATTAGGCAAAAACTTCAAATTACACTTCATAGATAGTTATGATAACAAATATGTCTATCAAAGCAAGCCTGAGTCTTTTCTCAGTGGAGGAAAAAACTACTGTGCCATTTGTCAACTTTAGAAATGTTATGTATTTCTGACATTTATTGTTAAGTGCAGATTCGATATACAGACATTTGATGAAGTTATCCTTGAGTATTCTATTTAAAGTCATTTTACACCTCCAAACTTTTCTAAAGTCTGAAACTAATAGGATTTCAGTGCAAACTTGTACATATTGCTTGTCCTCCACTCTTCAGTTTTCCATTATGAATCATGTTTTAACAGAGTCTCATTTCTCAGATATTTTCTTTGCTTCTAAGAGCTGCAGGGCCTCACCTGCAGGCTACTGTGCTCACTCACACATGCATGATGCAATGTGAAACCTTCGCCTATTCACTGGAAAAAAGAAACGAGGAACTGTGCAAAGCGCCTGCAGTGCTGCAGGTGTGAATGTCTGTGTCCTCGCTACCGTGATTAATAGCAATGAAATATGGGGCTTCTCCAAACACAGAGCTATCACAATATCTCTGACAAAGTCAATCAATACAGTCTGTCGGTGCCAGGAAAAAAAATATGAAGAGAAAAAAAAATTGTTCATGGGGCCAGGAGTCTGATTTATCACAGATGTGCATTTCTGAGACAAACGGGTGAACATGACTTCAACATTTGGGAAGAATTTTGCGCTATCATGTGGCCATTATAGGGCATGATCTCAAATGGCGGAGAGATCAGTGTGGATGCATGAAACACACAGGCATGCATGCGTGGGTGTGACTGCACACAAGTGTACACACCTAGTTAGCACACAATCCTGTGATGCTCTGACACACCTGCACAAAACATCATTTGCTCAATAATCACATCTGGTGAAAGATGTAACGATCCATAATAAGTCTTATTATGCCAATATGCTAGTTATATTGTACTTGTTATTCCACTACATTCATTTGACAGCTGGAGTTAGTTATGTTGCAGATTAAGATTACGGTATCAAGACACTATTTAAGAAACTATTACATTATTATGTATTAATATTTGCCAATTTAAGATACTTATTAATACAAAACAGTTATAGTCAGGTATACATATACGTGTTATTTATTTCTGAAATAAGCTATTAATTTTACTTTTGGGACTTTAAGTATATATTTTATTGTAATACATATGCACTTGGTAGGTTAAATATGCTTTGCATGGAACAAAATGTACTTGCAAATGAGTAATTGTTGTCACATACAAGTAAAAAAACTGTTTTCCAAACATAAAGATATGTCTTCAATTGGTTACACTCAACTTACTTAAACAAATGTTTGCCTTTTCCTTATTTATATAGTATAAGTATATAATATTCAACTGTAATTTTATCTTATTTTTTCAAACATTTGGAGTTGTTATTCATTTAGGCTCACATCAAGGAGGATGTAAAGCAGTTGCAACCTTTTTGAGATGAACCTATCGCTTCTGACCATATCAATTATGTTAATGGAACGTGAACTATTCCTTCAGAATGAGCAGTTGTTGGGCACATCAAATGAATCAGATGTTACATAGTGCTACACCCAACAGTGGATTGTTGACAGGGCTAATAAGTACGTTTAAAATCATTTTGCAAAGGCACACCTATTAAAACATTATTCACTAGTGGTAAATGCAATGTTAATAAAAGTGTGGGTATAATTAGGCCAACTAATTGTAGGCATTCTTCATCAAATGCCCTGTGTAAAGCGTGGAGGAAAAGCTGTTTATTACTTCCTCTCTCTTTTTTTCTTTTACATGCAAATCTTGATTTAAGTCTTAATAACTAACACTTTAAATGGAATTATTATGGCATTCAAACCAATTACGTTATTATGGCTTGTTATAATGCGATTACAGAGCCTGATCCCGGTGATTGTCTCTTTAAGAAGCAGTGAGAGTGAGAGGAGGTGGCGGTGCGGTTTCACACCCCGGGGTGGGAAACATGGGCGGGGCCAACCACCGCTGACTGACAGCCGTTCAAAGGCTCTCCTACTCGAAGAACCCACATCGACCAATGAGGTGAGGGCTTGACCCGCCCAGCAAACCACAACAGCCAATCACTGCGAGCCAGGGGAGGACCCTGGAATCGCTGTTGTGCATCCAACGTGGGACTACGGAACGATCTCCCAGGGAAAAAAAGGAAAAGTAACTCAAGAAAGGGAAAAACTCATAGTGGTGCTACACGTTCGTAAGGAGGGGGCACTCTATATTGCTATTAATCGGATCGTGGAGATTTTGTGACCGCAGACTGCACCTGATAAGCTGTCGGCTGAGTTCTTCTGGATCGGACTGTGTGTGTTTCAAAGTTGGATTTATTCAGCTAACAGCGGCGAAGTGCTGGGTAGATATGGACGATCTGCAGCGATCGGCTTGAGAGACCAACGCTGGAGTTTTCGGCACTATTCCCGCGGGTCTTAACTTATATTTTACATTTACAACTTTGTAGTGGACGTGTTGTAACGCCGTAAGAAGTCAACGTGTAACCGGTTTGCTAAGTTTCAAACTCGCTGCTGCTCTATTGATCAACAGTTACTGTGTCCTTTAACACTTTGCTGTTGCATGTTTTAACAACATGTCACCAAAAGCAGATATCCTATCAAGAAAGTAGTTTCATGAACGACTTTCATGAACACTGTTTTTTAACTTAAATGTGACTTAAGGACGACTTCTACTTTTGCTAGTTCTGTGAATCACCTTTGATTTTTTTAGCCCGCGTCGGACACCAGAGGAGAAAGTTGGACTGGGAACTTGTGTCCTAAATGACTTATTACTGGGATGGAAAACTTACTACCGCACTGCAGTTGTTTCTCCTAGCCCACGTAGCACAAGAAAACAATTAATGTGCTCTAAAAGTCTCCCAGTTTTTCCGAAGAGACATTAATATTCAAGTTTGTGGGTGCAAGGAGAGATCTCAACGGCCGCGCTATTAAAACTGGATACAAAATGGCGGCGTCCCTGGGACGATTTGGATATGTTTCTCGATGTGTTTTTTATTTAATTTTGTCGGTCGAACTGTTTATCAGTTATGGATTGAGTTCAGACTTGCCATGTGCCCAGAACTGTACCTGCGACGGAGATGCAGTGGACTGTAGTAACCTGGAGCTGACAGCTACGCCTCTGGACCTTCCTGTCCGGACTGTTTCCTTGTAAGTAAAGCTCTTACTTTGACCTAGCCTATTTACTGACCGGCCCATAACTGGGTAACAATGTTTCAAATGAAACGAAAAGTGCGTAATAACATAGAAAACTTAACCACAAAGGTATTAATACGGACGAGACATGTTTCGATACGGTTTCCTCTGAAGGAATCCCGTATGAGAAGATTTGGTTAGGATTTGCATAATTGTCTATCAAGTGTTGCAGGATGAGAAGAGCCAGTTGTCATGTGTATTCCTTCTTCATAACAGTAACTTTGAGTAAGTTTTTAGGTGTAACATTTAAGTTTTTCAAATGTTCCTGGCGGGACCTCCTTTTACCCCATTATAGCCCCTCGGAGGTCCCTGCACCCCTCTCTGGAAACTAATGGAACAACAAACCACAAGCCATGTTTGCACACACAGCTCTGACCCATCACGTTTTAACTTGATAACAAATTGTTTATGCAATGCATGAATTAAGTTAGCACCTATTATTTCACAACAAGACAACAGGCAAACTGGTTTCTTTATGTGTTTGACTGTAGGACAAATGTACCTTTCAGTATCCGTTTTCTATGTCAACGCTTGTTAGCCTAATTTAATTCAGGCTTGTATTCTCATGTATTGTAACAGGTGTAATGATAGCTGCAGAAAGTGGAACAAACATACACAAAATAGACCACTGTGTTTGTGGACATTATTTACGTTGTAGGTTAAATGCCTTGCTCAAGGGCACATTGACATATCGTGGCACATCTGTGTATTGTGTCTTGAACGTATCCTGTTGGTTTGAACATTATTTTGAAACTATTCTTTAAAAAAATCAGTTTCAAGTGTCTTTGAATACAAATTGAATTATATTGCAGTTAGGAGACGTTACAAGATGTGCGCTTTTTGTATCTCTCCAAACATGTATTTGCATTTCCAATGTTCGCATGAACAAACAGTCCGCTCAGGCTGAGTAAACAAAATCTGCAACACATGTCATAACGGCTAAGCCTCTTTTTTGCGACAATTGATTTTCAGAAATACACAGCTCTCTGTCCTCCTAATCAACAATTTGTCTCACCTCCGTACATTGCAATGGCCATTGACATTTGTGAATCCTCTGTGACAATTGGGCATCTTGTTGCAGAATCATCAGCATCTGTTTGTGTGTGTTTCTTCTGGGAACGTGGGGTTAAAGACCAGAGACCCAAAGACTTCTCTGGCTCCCAGGTTCCTGTGTTAGGCAGTTCATCTTCCCCTGGGAAGTAAGGAATGCAACTTTAAAAAAGTCCTTTAAAAACATGAATAACGGCACTTGTGCCCGGGTAGCCTCATTGCCCTGAAGCACCACTTAGCCAAGTTCAAGTGTAGACGCTGTTTATCATGCAAGTACGTAGACACACACTGCTCCTCCTGTTCTCCTGGACAAAGGACAACTACTATTGGACAAATGTCCCATGTGAAACAGCTGCATGAAACCTCAAAAACGCGAGTCTACTTCTGTTATTTCAGCCAAACCTTATCGGTCAAGATTTAAGGACCCGCAATCTTGTTGTTTTCAAAGGGAATGGCTTTATGGCTTTGAATTATCTTTTTAAAACACCTAGGTTGAATATTTCCACACCGCTTGAGATAGTCACGTAACGCTGGCAGGTGACTCAAAGGGAACCAGCTCAGTTCCTTCGGGGTCTGTAAACGAGCCAGATTAGCAGATGATTACTACACACAAAGAGACAAGTATGAACAATTTCACTTGTGGCCCGGTGTGATCCCATTATAAGGTACCATTCGCAGAGTCCTGTCCACTTGAGTGGCTAACATGTCTTTTTGAAAGTTATTTCAGTTACAGAGTGCTGCCTGTGCAAAACAATTTGTGTAGGTGCTGCTTGTGAGTGTAAGTTATTCTCATACAAGGGGGGAACTAGTACTGTTGAAAGTTAAAGTTGATATAGCAAGTGCTGAGTGCAATAATAATAGCTTATCGCGTTAATGGAGCTCACTGAGTGTCCGTTGGCCAAATGCCTTGTTTTAAAACAAAGTGTGTTTGTGCAGATCTACCTTCAGGCATCTGAGCCAAGCTAAATCAGTGTGAAATCAACTGTCTCTGTTATGTTTACCCCAGGGAGGGAGCAGCAGCAGCAGCAGCAGCAGCAGTAGTGGGAGGGAGGACAGCATTGGGGACAGAAAACACATGTCACCTAGGTTGACTTCAACAAGTAGCTAAAACACCTATGACTGCATTTATTAATAAAGAACAAACCCCCCAAAAATGAATTTGACAAGCATGTGTGCATGTTCCACATCCTCTCTGTTTGCAGTAGTTCAAGCAGAGAAGATAAACCCAGCTTAAAATGAATGGAGATTTCCCACCCTTTTTGTGTGGGTGGAGAAGGATTGCGCTGTCATGTATTTGCTGCAATTATCTTTATACAGGCTCTTAAATTGGGATAGCAGTAATGAACACAGCAGTGGTACCTCAGGACCTGCGTTTGTACTGCAGCTTACAGAGGGAAATAGTTCTTAAGGAGAGTCATCATATGTCAGGATGTGGGAGTTTAGTGCAGGTGTGGAATAATATTGCTCACTGACAAATGTATTTATAGCTTTTAGCGCACATTGTACAGCTAGAAAGAAGTAGCCTTTGATGCCCCTACAAGTGACACTTCTATGCGTTTGTTTCCTGCCTTAAGTTTGTTCTTAAAAATCTGAATCTTTAAAAGCCGTTAGGATTTAATCTGGACCTCATTAAAACAGTTCCATAATGCACTGTATTACTTTTAGAGTGCTTTGTTTTCAAATGTTTTTCCAAGAACCAGGGGAGTTAGGCATCTCGGGGGCTAGGTCTTCAAAATGTATCCATTGGTAGATATCCTTAAAGTCCAGAGGATGTTAAAAAAGTGAATATAGTGATATAGAGGCCAATCCTGAAAAAACCGACTGAGATAAGATGGATAAGGGTTAGTTGGGAAAAAGTGTGATTGACTACGTTTGGTTAAAACAATTATTTACTGCAACATAGTAACGACTTATTGCAATAATAATGAGCTAATGATACATAGCAAGGAAATCATTTCAGTCCTTAGGCCTTTGCCTTTTTAAGTATGTTTTTTTAAACATCCGTTGCTGTTTTACACCAGTGCTTCTAACATTTGTCAAACTGACCCCCAGTCTCAGATGTCTGTCTATTGTTTCTGATTGATGAATAGCCTAATAACATTCAAAGCAAGTTTGCTCTCACACAGTTACATATTCCCTCTCAGGAGTGGTGCCTTATCTTATTTGCAGCCAGAGTAATGTGTATAAAAAGCATTTTTACCCACAGAGCCACTGGCGTAATGGGATTTTGCGAGTTAATAAAAGCATGAACATTACTAATTCTGCTGGCTGAGATTGCTGTGGCTGGATAGAGACAAAGCAGATACGTGTCTGTTTGTTTTTCTGCCTGCGCCTCTACTTTCTCTCCTGGGACTGTAAAATCCTTTTGTTATTTATTGTTAAAGAAAGAAGTTTGTCTTCATTTTCCTTTGTTGAAGTTGAAGTCCTTGCATTATTAACTTTGCAGAAACTCTGGTGAAAAGCAAGAAGTAGTCTGATCTTGAATGGTCCCCTTTGTAACCAAAGCATTTCCCAAGTGGTTTCCCAAGATTCCCAACGTGCTGGCCATAACGCTTGGTGTACACCCAACGTTCTTCCGCGACTCGACCCCAAGTCGTAGCCTTAAACCTCACAGTACAGTCTTATTGGTAAACACCACCCCCAGCAGTTGGTTTTGGCTTCTACCCTCAGGAAATGGGTTTGTGTTTGGCGGTTTCCTGACAGGGGCCCGGGAGCTCTGCTTGCTGGTTGCGGATTGGTCGGCGTAGGGTGGGGCCACAGATCACCTGGCCTGTGGGCAATATGGGGCGAGGTTGGAGGATATTTTCCACCCACTGCATGGAAGTGTTTTGTCAATGACACGGTCTGCTGCTGCTGCGGCTGCGGCTGGTTCCTTCAGGCTGGTTCCTCTGGTGGGTGAAAGTCCTGTCGGTGGTCAGAAACCTCAACCACTGTCACACATGTTGTAACACACTGAGAAAACCCAGAGGAAATGAAACATTACAGGACTGTCTGCTTGTATGTCACTATCAGACACAGCTCAAGTGAATTACCACCGCAGGACTGTGCTCCCCATTGGTACAGTGTTTCTATCTTGGCCAAGTACCCCCTTAACCCTAACCCTAACCGATTTGGTCAAGTCCATGAACTTCATAAATGCTTCTCTCTGCTTAAACAGGTGAACATTTCAGCAGTTGGGGGAGAGATGCAATACTCTGTCTGCAGGGCCGAGCCCATTGTGGTTTCTAGCACATTTCTCGCTACGCGGCCTTGTAATCTTGTGGTAATGGGAGTGATTATACTAAGTTTGTTTATTGTCATTGTTTCCTTAGCCCTTGTGGATAGATTAAAGTCAAACTCGAGAACTTGGAAGGGTTTAAGATGATATTATCATTGGCACAGATTTTAATCTGCTGCTCTAAGTTTTCTCTTCCTTATCAGGCTGTTCGGTGTTAAGCCGGACAGTAAAAGTACCGTGAGTGTCGAAATGGAAATTTAAAACGAGCGGCAATCTATTTTTTGTTGTAATGGATACCTCTTTTAACCGACTGAGATGATTCATGCATAACATTAGCTGTGAACAAATTAAGTAGGACCAGCTAAGGTTGAGCCCTTACTCCAATAACAACTGATAAAGTCAGACTTTTACATGAAGACATGGAAGTGAGCTCATGGCCTTGCACTGGCTTTAATGACAATCAAACAGCTGCTGCCACAAGTCATTCTCCAGGAATCTAGTCAGCAGAATAGATGGCCCTTTTGTGAAGACACTTTGGGGCGCCAAGTTTTTTTTTCCCCTTCCACCTTTCCCTCTCCCCCAAAAGTCGGTGTCTACAAAGTGGGCTTGATCGATGAATCATCTGTGAATTCTGTACATCTGGTAAGAGTTTGGAAATCTGGAGAAGATGTTAGGGAGGAAAAAAAAA